ACATGCTTGAGAGGTGGGCCCATGCGAACTGCATGAAGTTCAACAAGGCCAAGTGCTAGGTCCTGCACGTGGGTCAGCGTGATCCCAAGCACAACTACAGGCTGGGCAGAGAATAAATTGAGAGCAGCCCTGAGGAGAAGGACATAGGGGGGGTGGTGGACAAGACGCTCACCATGAGCCAGTAGCATGTGCTTGCAGCCCAGAAAGTGAACCGTATCCTGGGCTGCATCACAAGAAGTGTGACCAGCAGGTCAAAGGAGATGATTCTGCCCCTCTACTCCACTCTCATGAGATCCCACCTGGAGTACTGTGTCCAGCTCTGGGGGTCCCAGTACAAGAAAGACACAGATGTGTTAGAACACGTCCAGAGGAGGGCCACGAAGCTGATCAGAGGGCTGGAGCACCTCTCCTATGAAGACAGGCTGAGAGAGTTGGGGTTGTTGAGCCTGGAGAAGAGAAGGCTCTGGGGAGGCATTATAGCAGCCTTCCAGTACCTAAAGGGGGCTACAGGAAAGCTGGAGAGGGACTGTTTACAAGGGCAAGTAGTGATAGGACAAGGGGTAATGGGTTTAAACTGAAGGAGGGTAGATTGGAACCTGGAACAGGTTGCCCAGAGAAGTTGTGGATGCCCCCTCCCTGGAAGTGTTGAAGGCCAGGCTGGATGGGGCTTTGGGCAACCTTGTCCAGTGGAGGGTGTCCCAACTAGATGATCTTTGAGGTCCCTTCCAACCCAAAGCATTCTATGATTCTACGATTCTATATTTTATCCTCCAGAGGTCACACTGTATGTTCAGGCCAAGATGGCAGGTACTCATTCTCAAATCATGTAGTTTGAAGAAAAAGCCAGTGGGTGTCTGAAATGCACATGAAGGAGCTAGTTTAGGCAAAGGATTTGTTTTAAAATATTCCAACAAGAGTGCCCAAAGCTATATGAGTGGTTTTTGTGAAACCTCTAGAAGCTCAGCACACTTTAAACCCAGCTATGTCCTTATTTAATGTGAAGCACATAACTTTGGCAGCCAAATTTATTTTTGCCTAAAGACTGTTTTAATTAACACTAGTAGGTCATTCTGACTAAAGAAGGAAGAGTACAATTGCTTTGATCTTAATCTTTCAGTCTTTAATTAGAGATTGGCCTGAAACCAAGCCAGGAGCCCACACATCTTCATATCCACACATACTGGGCCAAAGTTATTACTGAATTACATGCTATATCTCTCTATCTGTACACAATACATACAGTGATGGCAGTGACACTTGTGAAGTTGCTCTGAGTCTCCAATGCTGTAAGAGTTAAACTTGTCCCTATGCCTCTAACAAAAGTCAGAGGTTCAAAATTCAAGTTCAGATTTCAAGACCAGTCTTTCCAGATGTAGTCTGTTACCTCGCCTACAAAATCAGAACCAAACCCAGCTTCATTCAAATCTTAAAATAAGCCTTAGTTTAGAATTAAGTATGATACCAATATGAACGACAGCTGTGGTGATAAGGCATTCAGGAAAATCATGTTTGCTAAACAGATAAATAGAAAATGAGTAACGCAATAGTTACAGAGGGATGAGAGAGAAGGATCATAAGAGTGTCTTGGACTTAAAGAAAAGTTGCCAACCAGATAGTTGGCAAACAGTAGCAGCGGAAGGAAGTTAGCAGACTT